GTTGCTATATATACACTTTATAGACTAGGGAGTGAACAGTCTTCCAGTTTTCCATCTGTTTTAAATGGCTGTGTTTATACCTACATTCATGATCTTGATCCGGATATAATCCTAATACTGAATCCACATGAAATGACCAGGTGTAAACAGGGTCAGAAGTCTGTAGACTCCAGTGTTTCTTCTGAAATGAAAGGTGTTAATAGTGAGTTTGTGCTGCAGTAACAGCCTCTACTCTACTGGGAAGGCTTTACAGTAGATGATGGAACATTGCTGTGAGGATTTGATTGAGCATTAGTGAGGTCAGATACTGATGTTGGATGGTCAGTTCTGGATCACTCCAACACATCCCAAAGGTATTGGATGGAGCTTCATCACTCCAGAGAACACAGCTCCACTGCTCCGCAGACAATGTTGAGGGGGCTTTATACCCCTCTAGCCCAAGCCTGGCATTGGACGTGGAGACCTTAGAATCATGTGCTGCTCCAAAGCGTACCATTCTATTGGTTAGTGCGTTTCTATGGAAATTATACAAGCTGTTAGTATGTAACTATTTGCATCTGAATTAGGTGTTTTTTGGAGACTTTTCCATAGAGTGTCCTCACAAAGCAGTCTCATAACTGTGTGTGTGTGTGAGAGAGAGAGAGAGAGAGAGAGAGAGAGAGAAGAGGGTGTAGTTTAGAGATATTTTGCAGTCACTCAACAGTAACACAGAGCTGAGGGAGCTTCTCAACTCATCAAACAGCCTGAAGATCAACCGCAGTGAGTGTTATTATTAGTGTATGATAGACATTAATATTTGGTGTAAATACAGGCGCTCATAATTCAGTGTTTGAGATGTAAACAGAGTGATTCAGTGTGGTTTGGTTTGAAATGGTTCCGTTTTTCCTTACAGTGGTGGTGATAGGAACCAGGGGTCGCCATAACTACAACACAAATACAGACATTTTATTTACAATCCCAAACCACCAGTGAACCTACACACCATCAGAGTTTATATGGAATGTTGATGATGAGAAAATAGTGAAAAATCTGAAATAAGAAGTTTTCTTTGGGGACTATTTTGCCTCACAACACCCTGCATATTATGTATCCCTCCACCATGAATGGATTTTAATTTCTCGAAACTATCATAAAACAATGTCTCAGACATCAGGCAGTGTATTTATAACCATTTTATGTATTAACTTTCTGTGAGGGAGCCTTTAGAGGTGGACGTCTGGTTCCTATCACCACCACTGTGAACAATTCTGACCCAGTAAGTTTCTCTAGAATGGAACGTTTCACACCAAACCACTCTGAAGGACTCTGTTTACATCTTAACAACTTAATTTTTCAGAGAATTTTTGAAAAATGTGTGGAATTCCCCTTTAACAGTTCTGATGTATCAGGTTTTTACTCGTTTGTGCTGAAAGTGAACTTATAACCTTTTTAAACTTTTAACGCTCTCAGAAATGAAACGCTTATCAGTCTTCATATATATGTGTGTTTGATTTAGAATCAGTTTACAGTGTGTAGTGTTTATAAAGTTATGTAATGAGAATGTGCTGTTAGCTGTGACGAGAGGCTCTGAATAGCTGCGTTATTAATTGCAGATTGATTGGTTATTAATTGATAAGCTGATAAGCTGACTCCTCCTTTCTCTCTATAGTTTATTGTATTGTTGAGTTTATTAGAGGGCAGCGTGAGCTCGTGTCAGCGCTTATCACTTTATCACACCTTCATTTAGATTTGCACACTGTCTGTACCTTAAAAGTACCACGAGATTAATATAATTTACATAATAAGTAAGATTTATATAATAAATAAACAGTAAATAAACTTGACAAAAAAAATATCTACAGTGAAAAGAGATGTAATTTAATGTAATTTAATTTAATGTAATGTAATTATTAAATATATTTATTTATATGTTCTAAAACAGTTATTCTCTGGGTTTATTCTAAAAAGGACTCTTATTCTGAAGGTGGGGCTGGGCTTCTTTTTGGAAATATATCTATTAGAACAGGAAGAGCCGGCTCAGTCTAGAACTGGAAGTTTACTGGTGCAGCCATAGATATACATACCTAGATGCCGCATTATCTGTTGTTCTCTACCTGAGGCGATACGTCTGCGTGTCCGCCATGTTGGAGTGGTCAAGATCCGCTTGTGAACAAGTTCTCTTGTATTGACAAATGATGAGTTCTCAGGATTAAATCGGCCAAAACTTCCTCATTACCTAAACTTTTTTTTGTTTTGTTATAATCCTCAGACACAGATTAATCTAGGCTGCAGATTTGGTAAACACAGTTGATGTTTCATTAGGTCAAATTAAGGCAGGTCTTCATTCCAACCGTGCAGGAACATCTCAACTAACCAGTTTGTTTGAAGAGTGAAAATGAGTAAAAAAGCTTTTGTTTTTGTTGGAATGAAAACCTGCAGCTACAGCGAGCCTGGAGACTCCTGCTTTACACAGACTGAGGCCTGAACTAGACTCAGGTGGCAGTAATCTTGAGCCAGAGTCGGTGCGGACCAATCACAAAAGGAAGAGCCCACATGCAGGCTGTGTCTGAAAAGCTGGATGAAGCTTCCTTTCCTTCCTTTTCTGCTCTCCGTGATGGCAAAACTGAGGAAAGGAAGTTTCAGTGAACTGAAGAAAACAGTAAAATGTGGAAAGGTGGATCTGCAGCAGTGGATCTGGAAGCTCTGTAGTTACTCTGTAGTGTTTCTCAGAGTTTCTCAGAAGCTGCTCCTGCACTAATGTCCTACATGTCTTACTGTTTACCTACTTTAGCACACCTGCTTCATCAGCTCATTACAGCAGGAGCTCGAGGAGGACACTGAGTTATGGTACGATGGTGTTTATAATGTGTTTTAAGTTATGATATTGGGCTCTTTCAGCACTGTTCAGTACTCTGTTCTGCTTTATTCGTGTTCACTGTCTCTGACCACTGCAGACTGACCTGTGTTCAGATGTTTGGTCACACTAAGATATAAAGTGTGTGTGTGTGTGTGTTTGTGTAGTGATGAGGGCATGTGTGGAGCTGTGTGCAGTAGAGCGAGGTTTGTGTGTGGGTCACCCGGTGAAGAAGCATCTGCGCTTGACCGGACGCTGTTCTGACCTGCAGCAGATCGGAGTTAAGCTCACCAGATTTAACCTGCTGAACACTGAGGAGGACACACAGGTGAGAGAAACTGACCCCCTGTTCACCTGTCTACCTTTCAATCTGGTCATCTGTGCTCACCCGCCCTCCTACACTGACCTGTCCACCTACACTCACCTGTCTGTCTGTGCTCACCTGTCCACCTGCGCTTACCTGCCCATCTGCACTCAGATGTCTACCTGTGCTCACTTGTCCACCTTCCCACTTTTGCTCACTTCATCTGCTCACCTGTCCACCTGTTCTGACCTGTCCACCTGTGCTCATCTTATCATCTGCTCACCCACCCACCTGCACTCTCTTGTCCATCTTTCCACCTGTGCTTACCTTATCATCTGCTTGCCTGTTCACCTGCACTCACCTGTACACTTTCTCACCTTGTTACATTCCTGGACAGGTCAGTTAAGTTTTAAATGATAGACTTTAAGCTCCGACAACTCAAAATAAATATCCAACAACGCAAAATAATAAAATAATAGCTTTAGTGCTGAAGAGCAACACTCACCCCCACAACCCCCCCCAATCACTTCACACAATCCTCTTTATTCTGTTTCTAATGAATAATGTATAACTCAGTAACACAAAAATGCAGAAAACTGTGAATCACAGACTCAACGCTGTTTCAATAATGTATCATTACTGATTCTCAAAAGAGTCATTTTTATGGGAAAAACATTCATGCACACGTGAGTGTTTTGCGTGTTTATGAACACAGCGCCTCATTTACTGCCTTAATGAACTGAACTGTGTGTGTCCTCACTGTCACCCACAAGCTCATTGTGCTGTATACGTGTGCGCTGCCTCGTTAATGAACAGTCTCTCAGAATTGAACAGTGAGCTTTTTGTCTAGTGTGTGAGTGTGTGTGTGTGTGTGTGTGTTCTCATGCTCGCAAGGCTGAAGCTGGCTTCTTATTCAAGTCTTCTGCTCCACCTTACATGGCGCAGCAGTTATATTCTAGTGCCTGTACATATTTGATGATGCACTTAATGGTTTCCTAATGAATCAGAATCAAGTAGAATCATTTCTTATAGAATCATAATCATTTCAAACTGAATTGTTTCATAAGCAGATCAAAATGTTTCCTAAAGAACAATATTTGAAGTGAATCAAAAATCATTAAATCGAATCGTTTCCTAAAAAAGTCATTATTAAACTGCTTTCTAAAGAATCATAATCAATCGAATCAATCATTGAATCATTATCAAAATTATAATCAGGTTTAATATGCATCTGTAGAAGTGCATTGTGGGGAATTCCTGTATGTCCTGCAAACACCTCTGAATTTTCTGTTCCACCGTAAATTTAAAAGCCAAAAAGAAGCTGGCGAATAAGAAATCAACTTCACCTCTGCCTCGTGCCAACTCTCTTATGATGCACGTGGCTGAATTTCTGCTCTGTGACTAATCGGATGTGAATATGCTGTTCCGGCTGTGTTCTGCAGAGGGCGCTTTGATTTTTCTGTGCGTTTGACTGCACAGATTTAACCTGATGTCTCTTTAAAATGCGCTTAAAATGTTGCACAGCAGCGAATCTGACGGGTATATAAGATAACATAGGGAACATAAAGAATCCCAGCATTAAATGAATGACCACTTCAGAGCGAACACTTCAAGAGGAGGAAAACCGTAAGTGCTTTGAATCAGAAATACTCTGTTTGCTGTTTAAAATTAATAAGGAAGTCTATTGTTGCTAAATTGAAATCTGAATATGAAACGTGCTGAGATTATGAGCAGGGTGAGGACGCCCTTAAGAAACCCTCAGAGGAACACCTTCGTGCGTCACCCTGGCGTCACCGCCCCGCTCACCAGCGCACCTGAGGGGTGTGTGTGTGCGTGTGTGCGTGTGTGTGTGTGAGAGAGAGAGAGAGGCTCGTGCGCACAGTAATTGAGCTGGCGCTCAGAGACGGTCAGAGGAGCTCGCGCTGGGCAGCTGATGGGGTTCTGCTGTTACCGCGCTGAGGAACGACATGGGAAAATGGCAGATATCAATGGTAAAGCATCATTGATTCATGTAACCGATTAGTTATCGATTATGGACGATTAGTACTTCATTTAATCCGCTGGACTTTAGGTTTATTTTCATTACCTGCCGTACAGGTTCAGCTGCTGAGCACTCCTCTCATACAGCTTTAGCGTTTTATTTTACAGCACAGACGTTACAAAATCAGAACAGAGTCGCGGCTTCTTACTCGAATTTTCCGTTCCACCTTAAATGGTAAAAGCTGCATCATTTAAGGTGGAACGGAACGTTGGAGCCAGAAGCCAGTTTCAGGCTGGTAGCTCCTGTCAGAGAGATGCTGGATGTTCTAAGAAGTTTCAGTGTGAGTTACTTAAATAGTGTTTTAATAATGTTTAAGTATTTAAGTGGTGTTGAAGTGGTGTTTAAATGGTGATTGAGTAATATTTAAGTGATGTTTAAGTAATCTTTACATGTTTATGTGGTGTTTAAATGGTGTTTAAGTAGTGTTTACAGTTTAAATGACGTTTAAGTAATGTTTTAAGTACTCTGTAAGAAATGTGGTGTTTAAGAACTGTTTGAATGTTTAAATCGTGTTTTAAGTAGTGTTTAAATGGTGTTTGTGTTCTTTAAATGGTGTTTAAATGGTGTTTAGGTAGTGTTTACAGTTTAAGTGATGTTTACATAATGTTTAAGTGGTGTTTAAGAACTGTTTAAATGTTTAAGCGGTGTTTAAGTGTTTTTTAAATGCCGTTTAAGTAGTGTTTACATGTTTAAGTGAAGTTTAAATAATGTTTTAAGAACTGTGTAAGAAATGTTTAAATGTTTTAAGTGGTGTTTAAATGGTGTTTAAGTAGTGTTTAAATGTTTAAGTGGTGTTTAAGAACTGTTTAAATGTTTAAGTGGTGTTTAAATGGTGTTTAGTGTTTTTAAATGTTTAAATGATGTTTAAGTGGTGTTTAAAAATGTTTAAATGGTATTTTAAGTAGTGTTTAAGTAGTATTTAAATGTTAATGTGATGTTTAAGTGGTGTTCTGAGCTGCTTCTGCTGGAGCTGCTTTGTTTAAAGCTTGCTTTATTTTTACTGCACTGATTATTTTACTGTAGTAGCTCTTTAGCTGTCAGATGGGTGACTTTAATTAGTATCTCTATAACAGTCAGGTTTAATGGACAAACATATTTCTGAGCACTAAAGCTGAGTTTGCTAACTGTGTGATCAATAACAGTGAAACTTTTCTGATCTGGTTCTGCTCTATGTAGTGTTTTTAGTGTCTACCACTGAAGAAGCAGTTTGTCCAGTTATATTTGTGCATTGTGTTTTTTAAAGATACATGAACGTATGAATATCCTTGAATTTATGAATCGTACCGAAATAGTTAAATTGAATAATTTTATAAATAACTACAATTGAATTGAATTACTTCCTAAAGAATCAGAATCAAATCAAATCCTTTCTAAAGAATTACAGTTGAATCAATAACGAATCATTTCCTTAGGAATCACAACAAATCACTGATTGCTAAATAATCACAATCAAGTTACATCTTTTAGTAATCAAATCAAATTGTTTAAAGAATCATAATTGAACCGTATTGTTTCCTAAAGAATCATAATCACATCAAATAGAATTGTTCCAGGATGGAATCAAACAATTTCTAATTTCATAATCTAATTATTACCAAAAGAAAATGTGTTTGAAATATGTCCTACAGGATCATAATCGAATCAAACTGTTTCCTAGAATTAACAAATTAAATCTTTGCATAATCAAATTGTGTAAAGAATAATGATTGATTCATATTGTTTCATAAGGAATCATAATTGCATCAAAAAGAATTGTTCCAAAAAAATCATAATGGAATCAAACAATTTCCTCAAAATTGAATTGAATAATTTCCTAAAGAAGTACTGTGTAATTGTTACCCAAAGAATCTTAAACAAATTGAATCAAATGGCTTTCTAAAGAATTGTAATCTAACCAAATGAATCGAATAAATCATAATTCATAAACAATAACAAAAACAGATTTGCTCCGCTAACGTTTGCTGTACTGTGATTGGTGGTTTAATCAGTTCAGACTGATGCTGCTTCCTCAGAAGTGCCCTAGTGCGTTGTGGGGAATTCCTTCGTGTCCTGCGGCCGGTCGGACTGGTCGGCGGTTCCTGATTCCTCAGCAGGGCCGGCTGAGTGCCTTACACTGATTCAGTCTGTTGTGATGAGATTGTTGCTATGGATCCTGTGTTGCTTCTGCATTTTTAGTTTTAGCACCAAGGCTAAAAGGCTGATGTAGCTCACACGTAATGGAAGCTTATACCCCACCAGTTAGCATAGTGCTAACTGCTTTACCACAGTCAGACTCTGTTGTAAAGTAAAAACCTCCCCGTTTGTGTCTGTTTTGTCGGAACGAGGTGTTGCAGCAGCTTGGTTACAATGGCTAATGTTACCAGTTAGCATAGCGCACAAACTACTAGCTAGCAGCAAGGTTAGTTGAAGGTTTATTGATGACTGATCAGCTGATTTGGGCATATTTGAGTACTAAATATTATCTCAAACTTTACTTTAGCTCTGTGGTGTTGGCTCAGTTGTTCAAACTACCTGTATTTATAACAGCCTGCTAACAAGCTAGCAAGATGTGTTATTTGATGTATTCTAATCTAAATAAAGTGATCAGTGAGCCTGCACTGACTTATTAGCTCGGGGGGAGTCTGACCACCTGTAGGTCAGGAAAAAACAGTTTATCCCTGGTAACTTGTCAGCTGCATTAGCCTCGTAGCTGTAGTGCTAAAACTAAAGGAGCAGACTTTACACACCAAACATAAAAGAAAATGAAGTAAATGTGTTTTTTTTCTGAACTGTCTCTGTGGGTTGATGTTTCAGAAGGTTTCGCAGTCAGTGTTTTTCCGCCGTTTGCCCTCTGGTTCTGACCTTTCAGGTTCTCCACTGTAACGTGGACCAACACGAGCTCCTTTCAGAAAAGTTAACAATTGACTCGACTCCTTCAGATAAAGCCTGGCTCCGCTCCTGTTCTTGTGGTGTTTGTTTAAGTGCATGTGAAGTGGAACGTCCTTTCTGCTGGTGGAACTGGGTCAGCTGCCTGTGTTTCTCATTATTAGCCGTTGATTTGTATCGGGTAATGAGGAACAGGAACGCTTTGACTCCGTTTGATTCTGAGAAATGCCTTCAGACAGTTGACTTAAGCCTGGACAACAACACACTCCAGTCTGGTTTTCAGGCCTCTTATAGAGCTGAAATGATTTTAAGTGACTGGAAGGTCAACAGGGATCTAATGTGTTACATCAGGACTACCACATTAGCTAGCAGATGAACTCTGGACTAGTGTGTTAACTCTGGTCTAGTACATTAATTGAGGACTAACGGGTTTACTCTGGGCTAGTGTGTTAATTGAGGACTAATTAATTAACTCGGCTAATGTGTTAATTGAGGACTAACAAGTTAACTTTGAGCTAGCATGTTAATTGATGACTAATGAGTTAACCCTGGTCTAGTTTGCTAATTGAGGACTAACGAGTTAACTCTGAGCTAGTGCGTTAATTGAGGACTAATGTGTTAACCCTGGTTTAATGTGTTTATTTAGGACTAATGAGTTAACTCTGGGCTAATGTGTTAATTGTAGACTAAAAATTTAACCGTACTGTAGTGTATTGGTTGAGTACTAACACGTTAACTCTGGGCTAGTGTATTAGTTGAGTTCTAACAAGCTAACTCTGGGCTAGTGTATTAGTTGAGTTCTAACAAGCTAACTCTGGCCTAATGTATTAATTTAGGACTAATGAGTTAACTCTGGGCTAATTACAGACGAATGAGTTGAGCACTAATGAGTTAACTCTGGGGTAGTGTGTTAATTGAGGACTGATGGCTTAGCTCTGGTCTAGTTTACTAACTGAGAACTAATGGGGACTAACGAGTTAACTCTGGACAAGTGTATTAATTTAGGCCTAACAAATTAACTCTGGGCTAGCATGTTAATTGAGGACTAATGAGTTGAGGACTAAACAGTTAATTCGGCTAGTGTGTTAATTTAGGACTGACTTAACTCAGGGCTAGTGTGTGGGCTAGAGTGTTATCTCAGGGCTAATACAGTAACTCGCCCACATGTGAACTCGGGATTAGCATGTTTTAAATATTGTTCTCTGTAATGCTGAATGCTCTAATAAACTGAAGATGGAATTCATTTTCAGCCACTCCTCATTTGTGTATCAGATGTGTGTGGAGACGCCGCCGTATTGTACTGAGTTCTGATTGTGAGTGTCTGTGTGCAGGACCCAGTGCAGGAGTGGGGTGAGGAGGTGGAGGATGGTGTTGTGTACGGAGTGACCCTTCACCGCATATGTGACCCTGCTGATCTCACTGACCCCACCCACTCCTCTGAGTCCCGCCCCCGCGGCTGTGTGCAGTACCGGACGCTGAAGGTCCGACGGCTCAAAGCGGCCACTCTGCAGAGGCTGGTCACCGAGCTGGTCAAACCGGAGTGTGACGAGCCGGACTATCCTCGAATCTTCCTGTCCACCTACAGAGCCTTCACCTGCACCTCCACACTCATACAGCTGCTCTTTCAGAGGTGAGGAGCACTGAGTTAAAGCGATATTTCAGCAAAAATCTAATTCCCACAGTAGTTTTAGCTCCGGATCTATGAGGCTAAAGTAGCTAAGATACTAATGGAAACTATATCTCCACCAATTAGCAATTTGTGAAAGGATGGGCAAAATTCAGATAATGCAATGTAGTCTCTTTGTGATTACTTAACAACTACGTAAGCCTCAGTTTGCACAATGCTAATTTGTGGAGTATAAGCTTGCATTGCTTGTTCACTACATTAGCCTCATAGTTTGCACAGTGTTAATTGGTGGAGTATAAACTGGTTCGATAAGGTTGGCCCCCTGCTGACTGTATGCCGCTACTGGTTCCCCCTCAGACCACCCACTGCCTAGCATGCAAGGTATAACTAGTTTTCATTCTTCTCAAACAGATTTCAAATTCACAGAGACTTTTAGTTTGGAACATAAATTAAGACAAATATTACAAACTACTTGGAGGAAAAATGACGACTAGCCCTGATATAGAATAATTTTGTTTAAGATGATGTTGTTGACATTGTGCTGGATTCAAATTATTTACTAAACTAGTTTACAAAGTATAGCTAAAGAAAAAATAAGGAAAAATGAGTGAAAAGCCAGTGAGCTGCCTCTTACCATCTGGGAACCAAGCACGTCTTGGTGGGGAAACTAGGATACATGGGTTTTATGCTGAGCTATTGCTTTAAGTTGAGATTCTGTGCAGCGTAATTTCATACAGAAAGTTCTTTAATTTCATTATAATGTGAGAAACAGAGAAACAGATTCATCTATCATTACAGGAAGAGCTGAGAGTGTGTGTGTGTGCACGCGTGTGTGTGTGTGTGTGTATAAAGGGGCAGAGGCTGTGCATGTCTCTGTGTAACAGGTTCCTCCTGAATACGAGTTCTGAGCTTAAAGGAAAGAATGTGCTGCTCTATTGTGTGTCTATAGAGAGACTACAGTGCAGATCAGATTCCAGTGTGTTAATAATACAGCTGAAACTCTGACGAGAGAGAGTTCCACGTGTTCAGGTTTGTAAGTGTTGTGTTGTGCTTTGTGTCTCTGCAGGGAAGACATGATCACTAACCTGGACAGCAGTGTGTGTATAAGAAGGTGAGTTATAGTAACATAAACACACACACACACACACACACACACACACACACACTCCCTGCAGGGTGTTCCAGCCCATAATACTACAGCTTTAAAGTAAATTAAATCTTCATGTGTCCATCAGCTTCACTCTGTATGAACTGTAATTAACTATTGTTCCCAAAGCAGTTACTCTCACTGTGACACACACACACCAACCAGCCACTACACCTATTGTCCATTTTTTAGTGCCACTGACCATATACTTTGTAGTTCTGCAGCTCTGCATACTTTGTTACCCTGTTCTTCAATGGTCAGGACCCTCACAGAGCAGGTATTATTCGGGTGGTGGATCATTCTCAGCACTGCAGTGACACTGACGGGGTGGTGGTGTGTTAGTATGTGTTGTGCTGGTGCGAGTGGATCAGACACAGCAGTGCTGCTGGAGTTTTTAAACACCTCAGTGTAGCTGCTGGACTGAGAACCAAAGACATCCGGCCAACAGCGTCCTGTGGGCAGCGTCCTATGACCACTGATGAAGGACTAGAAGATGACCAACACAAACTATGCAGCAGCGGATGAGCTATCGTCTGACTTTACATCTACAAGGTGGACTGACAGGGTAGGAGTGGACAGTGAGTGGACACAGTGTTTAAAAACTCCAACTGCTGAACACACCACCACCATGTCAGTGTCACTAGAGTGCCAAGAATGATGAAATGGACAAAGACACACGGAGGTAAGCTGTCCTCTGTTCTCCTCCACAGTTCCCTCCCTCCGTTGGTGCGGTTGTGGTTGGATGAGTTCTGGGAGGATTTTAGAGATTCTCCTCAGCACCAGGCGCTCCGGCTGCTGTGTGTCCACCTGCGTCACCGGCTCTGTTTCAGACGCCTGGCACGCCAGGCCGAAGCCCTGTTGCACTCCCTACAGGAGGAAGGTCAGCTTATACGCACAGACACATGAGGTTTATATGACAGTGTAAGAGTCCACTTGCTTAGTAAACAAAGCAGTGTGAAAAGAAATAAAATAAACAGTTAATAAAAATAGTCTGAGAAACATTTTTGCTTAATTTTGGTTGTAGCTACACTGTAAGCACAAAACAGTACTCTCTTAATATTGTTCTTCAGGGTTTCTTTAGTAAAGAAAATGGCTCTAATATAGAACCATGAACACTCAAAGAACCCTTTGCATGATTAAATAAAAGGTCATCATGAAAGGATTCTTCAGACTGATGGAAAATGTGCATAAATGTGTTATTGATACTTCTATGTGGAACCTTTTTGAAAAGGGTTCTATATAGCACCCAAAAGGGTTCTTCTATTGTTACAGTGTTGACATCATGACGGGAGAAGAACCCTTTTGGGTCGTATGTAGAACCATTTTCAAAAACCATCATAGCAAAAATTTATAATGCTAAATATGGCGGGAACAGAAACTAGTCTGCAGAGGAAACGAAGTTTATGCTTTGAGCTTTAAAAGACAGCGGTGGGACGGGCGTCCAGCTAATGTGTCTCAGAACACAGCGTCTTCCCCTCGCCCTTTTTAATAAGTACATGTGAAATACGTTTTCCTGAATCTGACATCATTTTACTTGTGATTTGCATGTAAACAGAGATTTTAATCAGATTGTTGAGTAGAGTGAGATATAAATACCTCAGTCTGAATCTATAATTGGAATGAATTTAATCGGATTATGAAAACATAATACTGTCTGTTAAAAGTAAGTTCTAACTTAATCTTGTCAGCTAGCTACTGATGGATTCAGCATCCAACAGTCCATCATGTTTTCAAAGCCTCCTCCTATTCTGCCTTGCATTGCTTTGTGGGGCATTAGTACCTTTACTCGAAAATTGACACATTTGAAATATGCTGTACGGTTGGGACACAGATATAGTCTATGTTTAGCATTTTGCCTTGTGAACTTTGACCCACAGACTGAACATCACTGTAACTGTATCTGGATGTGTTTATTTTGTGTTGATGATTCAGCTGAAAATGACCTGAACACCTCTTAAACAGCTCTGCTGGTATACACCTGTACGGTCACTGTTCACTATGGTCCCTAATCACTATTCCATACATTAGATCACTACAGAACACTATTATATTCAACAAAAGTGGCCCCTATCACTATGCCTTACATTGGAGCACTATAAAACACTACTACTGCAAACAGAATTTGATCACTAATTACTATTCCCTACATTGGTGCACTATTGAACACTACTATAGCAAACACAAATTGACCCCTAATCACTACTCCTCATGTTGGAGCACTACAGAACACTATTGTGAACAAAAGTGGCCCCTATCACTATGCCTTACATTGGAGCACTACTATTGCAAACAGAATTTGACCCCTAATTACTATTCCCTGCATTAAAGCACTATAGTACACTATTATAGTGAACAACAGTGGATCCCTAATCACTATCCTCTACAATGAAGCAATACAGAACACTCTTATAGTGAACAAAAGTGGCCCCTATCACTATGCCTTACATTGACGCACTATTGAACACTCTTATAGTGAGCAGAAATGGAACCTAATCACTATTCCCTACGTAAGTGCACAATTGAATACTACTAAAACAAAAACAAACAAAAATTGAGCCCAAAATACTCCCTACGTTGGCACACCATAGAATACTATTATAGTGAACAAAAGTCAACCATATCACTACGGCGTACGTTGGAGCAGTATAAAACACCATTGTAGCAAACAGAAAATGACCCCTAATCACTATTCCCTACATTAGAGTACACTACACCACTATAGTAAACAACAGTGAGAGTCTCTAATCATTATAGAAGACCATTACAGTGAACACTTTCATCACAAATATGAACAATTTAAATCGTTAATGTTACACAGAGTTGCTCAGACAGTAGCTCTTTTGCCTATGACAGAGTGCATTGTGGGTACTCCAAGTCTTTTAGAATACATTGTCCACTATCTATTACAATACATTGTGTCCGCTATATATTTGGACCACTGTATCTTTACTATAGAGTGTATCTCCCTCTGTGTGCAGATAAGCGAGCTGAGGTCGAGGGGTCAGAGGTCAGCAGTGCTCCTGCAGTGGACAGGTCCTGTGGGGAGAGGTCACTCGGGCTGGACCGTGTGGAGACAGGGAGTTTACTGAGCTTCTCTGCGCGGGACATCGCAGAGCAGCTCACACGGCTGGACGCTGTAAGTGTAATGTGGTCAAGATGTAAATAAAAGATCAGTTTTGTTTCTGTATGGAAGGTAAATATATAGCTAGAAAAGTGCATTTCCTAAAGAAAATGCAAAGTGATTGTGAATTCAATTCAATTCAATTCAACTTTATTGTCATTATACTGAAACAGGGTTGTACAGTACAACGAAACACTTTTAGGCTAGATCTCCAGTGCAATTACAGACAACATAGTGCAGGACAGGACATAGTGCAGGGACATAGAACAATAAATACAGAAAATAAATACAAGTATATACACTGCAGTAGGTGTGCTGGTACGTTAACACTGTTAATATAACAGTAGGTGCAATAGGGTATGTAGAGGGCAGGGAGCAACAAACTATGGGTTAAAGTGCATGGTGCATACAGTCTCTGAGCTGATGGCGATCTGAGGGATAGTAGGGGGAGGACAGAGGTCAGTCTGTTAATCAGGTTGAGGTTGGTGTGAAGTAGTGTGAACAGAGGTCAGTCTGTATGAGTTCAGGTTGAGGGTAGTGTAGCTGGTGACACCAGTTTAACAGCACGGGGGAAAAAGCTGTTTCTGAGTCTGGTGGTTCTGGCTCTGATGTTCCTGTACCTCCTTCCAGATGGCAGAGGCTGGAACAGCGGGTGGCTGGGGTGTGTGGGGTCGGAGGAGATGCAGAGGGCCTTCCTCAGACATCTCTTGCTGTAAAGGTCCTGCATGGGTGGGAGGGCAGCCGCGGTGATGCGCTGGGCAGTTTTCACCACTCTCTGCAGGGCCTTGTGTTCAGCAGCAGTGGCACTGCCGTACCAGACTGTGATGCAGCTGCTCAGAATGCTCTCCACAGTGGATCTGTAGAAGTTGCAGAGAAGCTGTTGTGGCAGGTTGACTCTCTTCAGCCGTCGGAGGAAGTGGAGCCGTTGCTGTGCTTTCCTGATGATGTGGGATGTGTTCAGTGACCAGGTGAGATCCTCAGAAATGTGGACCCCGAGGAACTTGAAGCTGCTCACTCTCTCCACCGTCGTCCCCTCGATGCTCAGCGGTGCATGCACTCTGCTCCCCCGCCTGAAGTCAACAATCAGCTCCTTGGTTTTGCTGACGTTGAGGGAGAGGTTGTTGGCAGTGCACCATTCAGCGAGGAGCTTCACTTCTTCCCTGTATGCTCCCTCATCATCGTTGGTGATGTTGCCGATGACTGTAGTGTCGTCAGCAAACTTGATGATGGTGTTGGTGCTGTGCTTGGCAGAGCAGTCTTGGGTGTGCAGGGTGAAGAGCAGGGGTGAGAGTACGCAGCCTTGTGGGCATCCGGTGCTGAGTGTGAGGGTGGGGGAGGTGTGGTCACCCATTCTGACAGACTGTGGTCTGCCAGTGAGGAAGTCCATGATCCAGTTGCAGAGGGAGTTAGTTATTCCAAGGATGTTGAGCTTGGAGACCAGTCTGGATGGGATGATGGTGTTGAAAGCGGAGCTGAAGTCAACAAACAGCATTCTGACGTATGTGTTTGTTCCCTCCAGATGGTTGAGTGCGGTGTGCATTGCCAAGGCGACAGCATCGTCCGTAGATCTGTTTGCCCGGTATGCAAACTGGTGTGGGTCCAGGGTGCTCGGGAGGCTGTTCTTTATGTGATGGAGGATCAGCCTCTCAAAACACTTCATCACTATGGGTGTGAGAGCGATGGGACGGTAGTCATTCAGGCAGGAGATGTTGGTTTTCTTTGGAATGGGGACAATGGTTGTTGTTTTAAAGCAGGCAGGGACGATGGACTGCGCCAGTGAGACATTATAAATGTCTGTGAAGGGTGTCGCGAGTTGGTTGGCACACGCTTTTATTACTCTGCCTGGGATACCGTCTGGACCAGCTGCCTTCCGGGTAGGAACCCGCGACAGTGCTCTCCACACCTCTTCTGTAGCCAGGGTTAGTGGCTCATCTGTGGTGGTGGAGGGCAGGGCAATGGTGGTTGGATGCGCCAGAGCAGTGTCCTCAAAGCGGGCAAAAAAGGTGTTGAGTTCAGCGGGAAGGGATGCGTCTGTGCATGGAGAGCTGTTAGTTTGACTCTTGTAGTCAGTAACAGCTTGGATTCCTTGCCACATTCGCCTGGGGTCCGAGTTGACGTTGAAGTAGGCTGCAATTTGTGTGCTGTAGGTGCGTTTAGCAACTCTGATGCCAGCCTTCAGGTTGTGTCTGGCAACTTTGAGTTCTTCACTGTTGCCAGATTTAAAAGCTGCATCTCGAGCTTTCAGCAGACCTCGGACGTCACTGTTCATCCATGGCTTTTGGTTTGGAAGTGTGCGAATTTGCTTTGTTTCAGTCACATCATCCACACACTTCTTGATGAACCCAGTGACAGATGATGCATATTCATTAACATCAACAAGAGAGTGAAGCTTCAGCAGTTCCCAGGTGGTTGCTATGGTGTTGCTAATTAATTACTATGGTGTTTTAAGTGTTGCAAAGGTGTTGATAAGTGGTTGTTTTTGTATCCCAGGCAGTTGCTAGGATGTTGCTAGGTGGTTGCTGTGGTATCTGAGGTGGTTGCAGATCGAACATTCTGGAGTTGGAGCGGTGTCAATGTCTCAGAAACTGCATAACGAGTTAGAAGACAAAAATCTGGCAGAATAAGAACTAGAAAAGTGATTGTGCCGCTTGCTAGGGTGTTGCTTTGGTATCCCAGGTGGTTTCTAGGGTGTTGCTAGATGGTTGCTATGGTATCCCAGGTGGTTACGATGGTGTTTCTAGGTGGTTACTATGGTATCCCAGGTGGTTGCCAGGGTGTGGCTAGGTGGTTGCTATAGTATCCCAGGTGGCTGCTTGGTGGTTGCTATGGTGTCCCAGGTGGCTGCTAAGGTGTTGCTAGATGGTTGCTGTGGTATCCTAAGTAGTTTCTAGGTGGTTGCTGTGGTATCCCAGAAGGTTGCTATGGTATCCCAGGTGGCTGCTATGGTGTTGCTACATTGTTGCTATGGTATCCCAAGTGCTTGCTAGGGTGTTGCCAGGTGGCTGCTATGGTATCACAGGTGGCTGCTAGGGAGTTTCTAGGTGGTTGCTTATGGTATCCCAAGTGGTTGCTAGGGTGTTGGTAGGTGGATGCTAAGGTATTCCAAGTGGTTAATAGTGTTGCTAATGGACTTCAACATGACATAAGCTGGGTAAACAAACTTTTGCACCTCATTCATTCTTATGAGAAAAAAAATCATCATTTAATGATGATTTTATGAAAAATGTGTCATAAAAGCTTATATTAGCATGGTGCTAACTGCATGCCTAAATCACCCTCACCTCAAGCCTTGATCTATATCTAAAAGCTAAGACGAACCCGATTGACCGCATTTGGGGATACTGTAAATTTAGATCTTTCACTGTGCTATTTTTTAATTAAACTTGCTTGGTGTTTGTTTCAGGATCTGTTTGTGCGTGTGGTTCCGTTCCACTGCCTGGGCTGCGTTTGGTCTCAGAGGGATAAGAAGGAGAACCGGAGTTTGGCTCCGACAGTCCGTGCCACCATCGCTCAGTTTAACGCGGTCACCAACTGGGTCATCACCTCACTGCTGTGTCCAAACTCCACCTCCGCACCTGGCTCTCCAAGCATACCCCGCTCACCCAAATCACCCCGTTCACCCAGATCACCTCGTCCACCCCGATCACCCCGGTCACCTCAGATGTGCCGGTCGGCCCAGTGCCCACTCACAAGCCCTGTGCAGCGGGCACGCATTATAGAGAAATGGATCTCCGTGGCACAGGTGAGGAACCTTAAATCGATAGGAGTAGAGAGTTAAATGTTGAGTTTCATGTTTATCAGAGCCGTCTGCTCCGTGGTGCAGAGCTTCTCTTCCAGTGTGTGGTAGCATTTAGGTGGCTGCAGTGGTCTTTTGACGTTGTGCAGTAGCCTTTAAATGGAGTACGGTAGTCTTTAGACAGTTGTAGTAGTCTTTAGATGGTGTGCGGTAGCCTTTAGACGGCTGCGATAGTCTTTAGATAGTTTGCAGGAGCCTTTAGATGGCTGCAGTAGTGTTTAAATTATGTGCGGTAGCCTTTAGACATCTGTGGTAGTCTTTAGATGGTGTTCAGTAGCCGTTAGATGCCTGCAGTAGTCTCAGTAGCTCTACACTGCCCTCTGGTGGAGGATAGAGGTCAGATAGCTGTTTTGTCTTTAATATAAGAATGTATAACATTTCAAGAGAAGTTAATTTCCAAATAATTCTGAGACTGTTTTAGTATTGAGAATTGCTATAATTTGTGGGCGGAGCTGGAATAGCTTAATTTAGTCATAAATCAGAACTGTCAGTAAAATGCATTGCTTTATTTCTTTAGTTTATATGTGACTGTACGTCTCTGTATGTAATTCGGCGTTTGTGTGCAGGAGTGCCATCAGTTGAGGAATTTATCGTCTCTCAGAGCGATCCTCTCCGCTCTGCAGTCTAACGCCATCTACCGCCTCAAAAAGACCTGGGCTGTGGTCAGCAGGTAACAGCAGCGGCTTCTGAGCTTTAAACTCAGTGTTAATGTAATTAATCGTAACTGATTCTCCGTCTGTACTGTGACTTATTTATGTTCCTGCACTTTAGATATGATCTTTGTCTGATTAGATCATAATTGGTTTATGATTTGTAATTAGTAATTACCCTCACAGAGAAGACACCTTTCCTATGTGAAGTGTCTAAAAAAAACATGGTGACACATAACATCACATCACGAAGTAAACACTTGTCACATCATGTAAATAATATGTGATCATGTCTGACCAATGTCTGAAATGGCACATGATGTTTTCACACACGTGTGATCAAGTGCCAAAATACACATGAAACTGGTGGATTGTAATAAGATTGTAATTGGTTTGTAATTAGATGGTAATTGAATTGTATTAGGTTTGTAATGAGTTAGTAGTTAGATTGTAATTGGTTTATTGTACTTTTGTATTTGGATTGCAGTTAGATTGTAATTAGTTTGTTTGTAACTGGATTGTAACTGATTTTCAAATTGGAAAAGGCTGTTCTAAATAACCTGTTATTAGATTGTAATTGAATTTTTTGTTGTTTTGTAATTAGATTGTAATTAGACTGCAGTTGATTTGTAATTATATTATAATTGGAGTATAATTGGTTTACAATTGCAGAGAAAGTGTGGCCACCTTTGAGCAGCTGTGTGAGAGCTTCCCTGATGAAAACTGTGTCCTGACCACCAGAGAGATCCTGGAGGAGGTGTGTGTTCTCTCCACCTGCACCTGCACACCTGCCTGTGTTCCGTCTGAGCACCTCAGTGGCGTTTTCTGTATGTGTGTATGTGTGTGTGTGCGTGCAGTGTTTTTCCATTGAGCAGATTGATAGCAGTATTTGAACACAGATAACAGTGTTCCTCTGAACCTGCAACAGAAACATGAGACTCAAACCTCCAGTCTGAGCTGTACAGCAGTCACTCAGCCCTTATTACATCAATTTTAAAGCAATGGATGTGATTGGTGTCTTAACTTTGCTTCTTTAGCTTTAGAACCACCTATTTTGTCAGGAATGGGCCGTATGAGGAATGTGCAAAGCCAGCAATCACATTTTTTAAAATAGCGCTGCAGGAAGAACACTATATGTTTTAGTTAAAACTTCGGAATAACTTTTTAAAATGTAATACTCTGAGCTTTTTTGATCCAGCTACTACAGCTTCAGTCTGAAAGGCTAATTATTATCACCCTGCTGGTGCTAGCCAGCATTTACCTTCATAAACAAAGATTAGCTTCCTATCAGGCGAGTACACACAGCCAGTGACAAAATCTTGACAGTGCCTGGCGGTCTGTGTACGTGTGGGCGGGGAGTTGGAGAGGATTTAGAAGCAAAACCGAGACTAAAGAAGCACTTTAGACACCAAACGTGCCTTGGTTGATCAACTACATTTGGAGTAAGATGGGGACACTTTAACACGCTAAAGCTCAGAGCAGCAGCTGGGGGATGAATTAGAGCTCAGTCTACACTCTTAAAAAGATGGTTCTTCAAGGGTTTTTTAGTAATGACAATGGTTCTTTATTGAACCATGAAGTCCATGGAACCATGAAGTTTCATCATGCGAAGAACCATTTATGCATGCAAATGATTTTTTAGTGTTTATGATTCTATATAAAACCATTGTCTTTATGAAAGAACTATGTTTTTTAAGAGTGTAATATAAGCTGTTGTCGGTCTTTGTTCCAGCGCAGGCTGGTAAGTCACTCTTGATCCAGTTCCAGTGTCACATTTCACACCCAACTGCTGCGTTCTGTATCAGCATGTGATAAAAGAGCAAACACAAGGCAGCCTGATGCTAAAAGCGCTCACGCTGTTGTACTGTTTAAGCTCTTTCTCTGCTGTGTAGGTTCCTTTGGCTCTGAGTTAATCTTTTGACTCTGTATTTCAGGATGGGGCCCGGCTGAGTGCAGGCAACTCATCCTCGGCCCCCAAATCACCGAAACTGAGCCCTTCCGCCAGACACATGGTAAGAGCAACAGCTACACACACTGTTTAGTGGAACATGACTGCTATACACTAGAGGGCGCTCAATGAATGGAAACTAAAAGAAAAAAATATATGAAATATGTTTTTTAGTCATTCGCACAGAACCTACTCTTAATTTTGGGAAAGAACTGAAACTTTGGGATGTATCACATAATATGGTGAAAAGGTATGAGTACCTTTCAATTTTCCTACAGTGAGTAGAAACAGTAGGACACTGAGCATGATTTGTTTGTGCACATGTATAACTTACAGTATCTTGGCTCACAAATGTGATTTTCCAGATGGTGAAAACACTACACACTTTTCCAAAATGGACAGTAGCTCAGCATCACCATCTGAAAGTTCCGTGAGGAGTAAAAGATCTTATTTGCACTTAAAGATGTTCTTAGAAGTTTGCCTGTTTCATGAGAAGCAAGTCACCAAGACACCAGCATCTGGTGTGTGGAGTTTTGATGTGAAAAAAATCATGTCCTTACATTCCGCAATTTTTTTTATTTATTTGCATTATGCTCAGTGTGGAATGGCCTTAGTGTTACTGCTAACAGTAGTAGTTCTATAAGTGGAGTGTAACTCTGTTTGTAAATAAAACCATTAAACATTTACATTTACCTTTTTTATGTGTGTGTGTGTGTGTGTGTGTGTGTGTGTATCCATGGAGCCTCGGACTTCCACTGGGCTAACTGCCCTTCAAACATGCTCAGTAGAGTATGCCCTATACTTTGGTTGGGCATTAAGTTGAATAAAATAAGCATTTTAACGTATTTTGTTGCTTTCCCTGCCATTTTTAGGGTAAGAAGAAAAAAGTGTGCAAGGTTCTCTTGATTTCTTCTGCTGAAGTCTACTTTTATGTTAACTCAGAGTTTTTCTAATGAACTTTAACTAAACTCAGACAGTGATGGGTGAGCTCTTAAGATGGCATCTAGTATCCCCCAAGGGGAAGCAAGTGGTGCTATACACAGCGCTGAAATAGACACACTCTGATGGAAACTGAAGCAGAGCTGATAGAAACAAGCGTCTGATTTAAAGTGAAGTCAGAAACAGCAGCAGTAAAGCTCACGCAGCATCAGCAGGGGTTTTCATATACGTAACTCCTCTGAATGAATCAACAGTCAGTTCCTCTTTTTAATTTTACCGTTGGATTCATCACGGAATTATAAATCTCAATCAGCTGCACACTTCCTCTTTCAGTCACAGTGGTGACTTCTGTGATATTAGGTGTGATGGGTTTATTGTTATTGTGTGTAGAGCTGCAGTAGTGGGGAGGTTCCTTACCTGGGCACATACCTGACTGTTCTGACCATGCTGGACACTGCACTGCCCGACACTGTGGAGGTTAGACATCCGACCCATCTGTCCTCTCTCCTTGTCTTCTCTACCTTTTCTACCTGTCCCATCTTCCTGACCTCTACCTAAGCTACCTGTTCTCTCTACCTGTCCTCTCTACTTGTCTTCTCTATCTTTTCTACCTGACCTCTCTACTAGACTTCAACCTGACCTACCTGCCCTCTACCTGATCTACCTGTTCTCCATACCTGTCCTCTCTACCTGACCTACCTGTCCTATGCACCTGTCCTCTCTATTTGACCTACCTGTCCTCTCTGCCTGACCAACCTGTCTTCTCCACTTGTCCTCCTGTTCTTTCTACCTGTTTACCTGTCCTCTTCACTTGGCCTAACTACTTGTCCTCTATACTTATATTATGTACCTGTCCTCTCTTCCTGACCCATCTGTCTTTCCTATCATCCTCTCCCCTGCCATTCCTACCTCTCTTCTCTCCTTGTCCTCTGCCTGTCCCCTCGTCCCGTCTATGTAACCTACCTGTCCTTGCCACGCTGTCCTCTTCACCAGTTCTTACCCATCTGTCCTCCTTTTCCAAACCAATGAAAGAAATGTATAATAAAAGAAATTATTATAGTATAAAAGGAAATTTGAATAAATGAAATCAAGCATCCATATGCACATCCAGTGACATTGTATACCCAAATGCATATACTTCTATGCATATATTTACATCTCTCTCTCTCTCTTTATCTCTCTCTCTCTCGCTTGCTCGCTATCTCAGGGAGGCCTCATCAACTTTGAGAAAAGGAGAAGAGTGAGTATACACACAGTAATATACTTACATGCATCAAGGAATGTGTGTTAGGACTGCTTTATTGACCAGTGTGTGTGTGTCTCTCTCTGTCTCTGTCTCCCTCTCTATCTCTGTATTTAGGAGTTCGAGATTTTGTCTCATATTCGGGTGCTGCAGGCGTCCTGCTCTCTTTACTCATTCCCCTCTCACCCCGCAGTCTGCTCCTGGCTCCGCAACTGCACTCCCCTCTCCGACCAGCAGAGGTCAGTCTGCGTGTTATGTAGTTTTAGCTCTGCAGCTGCTGGGCTAATGTAGCTAACAAGTAATGAAAGCTTATACCCCACCGATTAGCATCGCACAACCAGCACTCATAACAGCTCGAGACACGGTCTGAAGTGAGTGTGAGATGATGTAGGCATGCGGTTAGCTCCATGCTAATTAGTGGGGTGTAAGCTTCTATTGCTTGTTAGCTACATTATGTAAATTGTATTTTTTGCCAAATTGTTGCTTTAACATCTCAATGGCAGAACTAGATTTATGTGGTTTTTTATAATAAGCGTATTTCCAGATTGTGTAGGGTTGATGTACATGTAGTTAGTGTTCCTAAATGCTGCACTGGTGTTATTTCTAATATTGATTATGGTCTGTGTTGTGTAGTTATGATTTGTCCCGTGAGTTGGAGCCTCCGGTGGATCCGTGTCCTAATTCTCCGAGCTTTTGGAGCCAGCGCCTCATCGGCAAGAAAATCAGCTCGTACGTCAGACCACCTAACACTGTTCAAGTTTCAAAATGAATGGAAGATGCTAAAAGCACCCGCTGGGCATGTATGCCCACTATACATTGCACTAACTATCAGAGCCAAGTTGAGCCAAAACAAAGTCTGGCCAAGCGAAGCTGTTTCAATTTCACAGTCTGACAAGCGATTTAGCAAGTATTAAAGAAAAATCTTTTTTCTGTGTTCTACAGTATTTATGGTTATTTGTTTTTATTCTGTTATATTGTCTATAAATACAAAAAAAATATTATTGTGTATAAATGATTTTATAGTTTATTCAGGGCCCTGTGCTTATATTGTCTTGTTGGGGATCAAAAATGCATCCCGCATTTTGGTTTGGGAGGTTTATTCTCTCAAACAAAATAGCCACTGAGACATTAAATCCATATTGTTGGACAGATTATGTACATAAAATTAATATGCAGTGGAACAAAGTCAGTGTTAAAACATATGGGAATCTATGGGAATCTACCACTGCTAAAGCTGCTCTTTTGATTGATCAGATCAGAAATGCCTTAAATTTAAACTGAGATGTCAGCATTCAGTCTGTAAATTTTTTAAAAGTGTTACTGGTGAACAGCATATTAGTCTTGCCTATATTACAGTGCATGTTTTCTTGCTGTAAAGTTGTAAACAAACAAGATGCACCATCGCTAACAGTAGCTCGTCCACGCTGGCTCGCAGGCTAGAAGTCTAGCAAGCTAGCATTAAATTAGAAGAAGGGAATAGCCAGGTTTGCACAGAATGAAACAGATAAACAGCTCCTTTTGACCCAATTTATTGATATGTTGGACCACAACTGTCCACTAAAGTCTACAAAATATATACCTGAGCTTCATAATATTGCTGAATAAGGACACCCCAACCCCCTCGCAGTGTGCTAAGTTAGCCAGTGTGCTAACTACAGCTTGCTAAAACCATCTGAACAGTCCACTCCACTGACAACCACGACGTTCAGCACTTCGGCTCGTGTTCACGCAATGCACCATGGGTATGCATGCTCAGTAGGTGTATTTAGTATTCAGACGACAGCAGTCACTGAGGATTTTGGTCCCAGCTTAACAATTTTTTCACTTTTCGACCCAGGGTGCTTTATGAATGAGACACAACATAGGGCAACCAATCAAAACATAGCTCATTTGCATATACCAGTCTTAAAGACACAGTAATACAAACAGCTTGTTTAATTGTAAGGGATAAAGAGAGGATAGAAAATGATCATGCATAAATTATTTTTGACGTAAACATTATAAAAGGACCTAAAAGGGAAAAAATACAATAAAAATTGTATTATTGGCTCTTTAAATCACTGTGGTGTAGCTAGCCTACATCATTGTACTGAGATGCACCTTAACAACCTGTGTATGTGTGTGTGCAGGTTGTTGAGCAGTGAGAAAGCTCATGCAGATCAGATCAGCGTGTCGTCTTCCGGCTCCAGCGGCTCAGAGATGGACGACCTGCCCCCCCTCCGACACAAGCCACAGGTGAAGAGTTTTTTTATTCATTTCTTTAAAAACTTGAAGAGCCCATATGCTACATACCCTTCATCCTGCAGAAATTAGTTACTCAGTTAAGGACAGTACCAGATGGTGTTGAGGTTGTGGAACGCTGGTGTGGGTCCACAGAGTCAAGTACACAGTGTAGTTGGGTTTTAATCCTGAAATCTACTCAATTTAATAAGCTTTTTTTACATGTCTTTTACATGTTTACAGTAGTTTATATTCTAAGAGCTGAAACCTGATCTGCAGAAGTGTCCGGTCAGATGCTGTGCGTGTGTGGTTGATGTGTGCATGCAGTCGGTCAGTGTTGAGTGTAAACACTGACTCAGCTGTAGGAAACTGTTAAGTAACACCATGCTAACAGTTATCATCACACAACAAATCAGTTCTACTGCTGTATCACAGACATAATCACAAAAACAGCACACAGTCACTGATTATGGCCTTCACTGAACTGTATGTTTTCTCTTCATTTATAACTTAGATCACTGCTGTCAGAACAAAACCTCACATGTCTAGAATGGTAACTTAACAGGGGAAGGATTTTTTTAATTTGCGTTGGAAATCAATGTAATCAGATTTTTAAAGTAAGTTTGGACTATTTCTGTTTTTCTGTTGGTCCATTCATGATGAACATTATTTCAACACAACCTAAAACTGTTTATGCCAAAAGTTCAGCAGTAAACGTGAGCAGTATCCACCTTACTCCTGCGTGCCATGATGCTTTGAGGTACTTATGGACAGAACTTTCGGCAAAGTGTAAGCTGACAATGCGCTGAATGCTTATAACATCCTAACATGATGGAAATGTGGGAAAAAGTAAAAATATCAATAATCTTTATTGTTGGGATGATTGAATACTTGTGTGCTGACAGTTGTAGCTTAATCAATCTGTGAACAGAAACCTGAACCTGCTTCAGAAAAACGCTTTAGCCAGAGGATCCTGTTTACAGCTACACAGTTTACACTGAGAGTCGGATAAAGAGAACCATAAAGCAGAGCCATACAACACATTCTCCATCAATCTGAAGAACCATTTCACTATGCAAAGAACCACTAAGGCATGCAAGTGTTTCTTTGCGTGCTCATGGTTCTATGTAAAACTAGTTTCTTTACTAAAGAACCCTTTTATTTAGGATCGTACTGTTAAAATTGACAAGAAGTGTTTTTGTTTGTTTCTCCTGCAGTCTGGATCCCTCCAGAACATTTCCACAGACTCCGCTGTCTCCTCTGCCTCATCCTCCCCCCAGCCGGACCACTCCGCTCTCAGCTCTGACATTGCATCTCCTACTCCATCGTCATCATCATCGTCCTCCTCCTGCGCTGCCCTCTCCCATCCTGTGTTTAATAAGGAGGTGGGCGACTCCTGCATCATCAGGGTCAGCATGGAGTTGGACATCGGTAACGTCTACAAAAGCATCCTGGTACGTGCTGTTTAGGACACACAGGGTGCGCTACTAATGGGTGGTATGGGCAAAAATTCAAATTACAATGCAGTTAAAATTTCAAACAGTTTTGGTGTATATGACAATATAAAAATAAAAGCAATTTAGATGCTTAAGTAAACCTATTTTTGTAGGTTAACAGTGGCTTATTATTCTGGGATGTCCCTTCATCATCTCAACTTATGAGAATTTATTTCAATATTGCATTCTAACACTTGGCAAAACAGTTCTGAATATTGTTTTTAATATCTAAATTTCCACAAACCTGAAGCTAGCTTCGATTATTGAAATATTGAATTCACTTGGCGTGCTCTCAGATTCTTTATCCTCTAAACAGGTGTTGTTTGAAAATCAATTACTGAGACTGCACCTGTACTGTGGTGGGTGGAACCTGTAGCTGGCTAACTACACTAGCATTAACGTAGACCAGCAGGATACACCTCAATGCACCACCAATTCTTTTTTTTTTTAATCTTTTTGTCTCTTCAACCTCAAACATTTGAATTTGCGCTTTCAGATTTGAGTCTTTACACTTGTGTTAGCTTAGCCTAGCACGATTTGGCTTAAAACACTATAGACTTTCTGTCACTCCAACACCAATCAGTCAACTTTGCTCCCACTGCTATAAGTATTTATCATCTATACTTTTGATAGCAGGGCACCGAGTAGTCAAATCAAACCTGCACTGGGGTATTTGGATCTCTTTAGCTTAGCTAAGTTAGTTAAGACAGAGGAGCTGGTTAACATTAGCTTAGCTAGGAGACTGCAGCTTCAAGCACTATGGAAGAGAATTGCAACTCCAGCTACTCAGCTTCCTCAGATTTGAGTCATTGTCATCTAAATTTGTGTCAGTGAAGCTTCTTTTAGTCAGAATCAAACCTGTTTTGTGGTGAGCAGAGCTGGCAGCATGCTAGCTAAGCTAATGCTAACCAGCTATTCTCTCCTGGTTAGCAGCGCAGTTTAACATTTAGACATTAATGATTGAAGCTTTGATGTTTATTAAATGGTGGGTTTAAAATTTTATCTGCCACCCATATGAACAAACTGAACTTACTGGATTGTTTTCGGTTTTGAAATAACACCGCAGGATGTGGAAGCACAATACCGACAGAAACGTGGAACCAATCTGCGAATCGCTATGCCCTTACGTCATCCTGCTGAACGGTTCTGTGGCCCTAAGCATGGTTAGCTAACCAAGTTGAACAAAACACTATGAGTCTGGTTTTTAAGATTGTTGTGTCCAAACGTGTCCAGGTGGAAAAGTTACTGGAACCGTTACCCTCGGTGCTCAGAACCATTTGGCCCTGTAGCGGAAAAGAGGCCACTGCTGCACTACTTAAGGAGGAAAGGGAAATGTCTCTGGCTCAAGAAGAAGTGTTCTGCTTGCACTGTTTGTACATATTGTGTTATATAACCACCCATCACTCAGCAAAGATTCTCTGTATGGTATTTGTTTCTTCCTCTTCGAGTTGGTAGACAATTTGTTTGTTTTTTGCTCTGTCAGATAACCAGCCAGGATAAGACGAGTCAGGTGGTGCAGAGAGCTCTCGCCAAACACAACCTGGAGAACATGAGCTGCAGCGACTTCAGCCTCGTTCAGATACTGCCGCACGACAAAGGTGAACACAGCCTATACAGTCTAAAAGACTTCAGATCCACTTTGTGGGATTAATTGGAATTACTTAAATCTACACCAGCTTATACACGTACCTTTCTCAAATCCAGATAACATAACAATATATTAAATTACATTATTTAATGTCAGTGTGAATTAATATTGTGAATTATGTAATAATTTCTTAGATACACTTCCATTCAAGAAAGACAATCTGAAAACATGTCCACTTTATTAGAAACCCCTCCCTTACAACTTCACACATCAATGGAAGTACAAGGCAGGTGTTTCTAATATAGTGGCCAGTTAGTGGAAGCACAAGGGGGTGTTTCTAACAAAGTAGACAGTTAGTGGAAGCACAAGATGGGTGTTTCTAATAAAGTGGCCAGTTAGTAGAAGCAAAAGGTGGGTGTTGCTAATAAAGTGGCCTTATTTAAATTCTCTTAAATATTTACTCTCACTGTTTCTATCAGAGCTGCTGCTGCCGGACAAAGCAAATGTTTTCTACGCCATGTGTCCCTCTGAGAGCTACGACTTTGTGCTCCGTCAGCGCTGGAGGAGTCACGTTAAAGCACCGGTATCCTGCTCCAGTCCGGCAGCCGTGCCGCGAGGACGCCTCGCTAAATGACAGCGCCACCTCTAGTGTGGAGGACTCGCTACAGCAGAGGATATAAATCTGCCCACTATAGCACGCTCACTCGCGTAGGCGTCCAATCTGATCATCACTAAGCTATTAGGAAAAAACACTAGGTGTCAATGCCACCTTGCGGTGTGGAAGACTCATTACAGCCAGGACCATCGTTCTCTCCAGGACTAAGCTATTAGAAAAACACTGTTTTGAACTATAATGTCTACAAATCAGTGCCTCGTTTATTGATGCCTTGTTTTATAATGAAGTGTAAATAAGAAGAAAGTGCTTTACAGAGTAGCTGCAGGAATTATCACAGCTTATTATTCCCTCTGTAATTAAGAAAGAGCAATACAGAAGGAGAAAGTCTAAAACTTATATAACTTAAATAACTTATATAAAGTCTCTTTAATGCCGTTTCATGAAGGATGTGTGTATATATATAAACCTTGCCAAGTTTTATTGGCTTTAGGGTTAAAAATCGAACGTTTTAATGATTTTATCAGTGTTGCCAATAAGCAGAAACATAATTTAGATATTTATATGTATGTATGTGTCTTGTATAGCAATAATTATTAATAACAATAACACAGAGCTAATATATCTTATGAATGAAGGTTAAAGTATTTTCAATGCAGTGGGTGATGTTGGCATTTCAGTGTTAGCGTCCTGATTTTTCTAAAAGTGATTTTATTTATTATGATCATTTTCTAGCTGTGTCTGGTTTATAAGCTGGTCTGACTGATAACGCCACCAATTATAACCACAGGATATCATTAAAGGTAGCATAAAGACAGTTTTCCTTTAAGAAATCTTAAAAAAAACACAGTGGCTGTAGCCTAAAGTCTGTGTTTTAGTAATGGGTGAAAGCTGCTTTACTGCATCTTTAACATCTCTGAGCTTTAGAGGCCTTAATGCACCACTGTGTGGTAAATGTTTTTATTTTCTTAATCAAAGACTCAGAGAAGATTGTTAATGTTAATGTTTAAAGGGGAAGCCCACCCAATTTTCTAAAATGTCTGCATAAGTGAACGGTTAAGATGTAAACAAAGTCAGTTGGAGTGGTTTCATGTGAAATGCCTCATTCTAGCCTGATGATTGAGACATTTTACAGTGTTTTTAAACCTGAAACATATTCATAGCGGAAGGATACATTCAAGGCACTGTGAGGCAAATAGTCCCCTAGAAAACATTATTTCAGATTTTCTGCTATTTTCTCATCATCAACATTCCGTATAAAACTAGAAAGATGTGTAGGTTCACTGGTGTTTTTGGATAGTAAATAAAATGTCTATATCTGTGTTGTAGTCATAGCGACCCCTGGTTCCTATCACCACCACTGTAAAGAAATCTGAACCATTTCACACCAAACCACTCAATCATTCTGTTTACATCTCACACACTGAATTATGGGGGAATTTAGAAAAATTACCCTTTGATGGTTAATGTAATTGTCTATATGTAGCTTCATCTGATCCTGTGTAGTGTTTAGTCACTTTCTGAAGTGCTGAAAATGGTCGTCTTTTAAACAAAAAACTGACATTTGCACAAAAATCATCAAATCTTTAAAGGTCCTTGAAAGAAGCGTTTATACTTTGTGTGTAAGTCAAACATTACCAGCTCGCTGCTGGACTTGTGTTCTTGAATATTTCACGTTTTAATAGATAATTCTATTTTAACCTGCTCTCTGATTAACAGTGTGCTGTTTGTTTGCTTTGTATCTTTTTTCTGTTTAACTGTTTATTTTAACCTCAGCACTTTGTCACATTTGAATTACAATTTTAAAATAAATTTATTTCAGCTCATCCAAAAGCTTCTAAGTTCTTTTTTGGTAACAAAGTGAAGTTTATAAAAGTTAAATAAAAGTTTGACACGGAATTAGAATCACGGAACTCCTGCTGGAGGACGCAGCGCCGCCTGGTGGACATGAGACATGTTGGAGGACTATGAGGAAACGTGTATGTTGTATTACTGTGGAGATGCAGCACGTGTGAGTCAATATATGAACATTTAAACACTGAATATCGCTACTGACAACATGTAAAAGCTAGTACTATTTTGTTTGGTTGTAAATAAACCTTTATTTCTCTATTTGAGCTTTGTGCAAAAGGCTAGCTTACTGCAGGTTTCAAACACTGTTTTCTTGTGTTGAATTTAAAATAGGCTGTTTTTCCCACGTAGTTTGTACCGAGTTTTGGTTTTGGTTTTATTGCTGTGCGCAACAGAGTAAGAAATGGAGGCTGTAATCATTTAATCAAAGTGTTACTGTAGCCTGTTTAACTAGCTTGAAAGGGCACCGCCCAGCTACTGCCACTAGAGGGCGATGCGTGTTAACTTAATAACGCTGAGCTCGAGCTGCTCTGTTCTCCAATATCTCCCTGCTCCCTACATAGTGCACTTAGTAAGACATGAAAGAACGGCTTACACACCCAAGAAGTGCACTTGAGTGTGTAAGTCGAATAGAAAGCCATTTATATTCGACCTTTAGCTGCACGGCTGCCTGAATAATACTTAGAGCACTTTAGGCATAGAAAACATAATGACCTATGCAGCGCACTATGGAGTACGGAGCCATTTGAGACAACGCAGATACTGCGCACTGCAAACACAACGCACCCAAGCAGACTCTGTTGAACTTAATTGATACAGGAATCGATTCCTATACTCAGTGTTATTGACAGCATTATTAAAATGAATTCAGACGTTTAGAAATGTCACTTCAAGTACAGCTTCAACGAAATAAACTAATCTGCAGTTTAAAAAAAGAGTATGTGTGTATTTATGCCGTTCGACCAGAAGGGGGAGCCGGAGTCTGAGTCTTAGACTGAGCTGTGTGTAAATTTAAGGCTAAATTTATTAGAATGAGCTGCGAGAAAGTTCAGTTATTCAGCGGTTTATTACAGTAGAGTAAACACAGTCACTGTAGTGTTTTAATGGTTTGCTGATGTTCCTGTTAAAGTACTGTGATATTTAGGGGTTCTTTGTCAGCAGGGAACGAGATATTTGCTGTTAGAACCGAAACATTTAGGCCTGGTGGACCCAAATATCAGATAGATAAATAGATAGATAGGTAGATAAGCAACACTATATAAAATACACTATATGGATAAAAGTATTGGGACACCTACACATTACATCCACTGGAGCTTTTATGAATTCCGTAGGCATTAATAGGAAGTTGGTCCCCTTTTGCATCTGTAACAGCTTCCACTCTTCTGGGAAGCTGTCTACAAGATTTTGGAGTGTGTCTGTGGGAATTTTTGCCCATTCATCCAGAGGAGGATTTGTGAGATCAGACACTGATGTTGGACAGAGGGCCTGGCTCGCAATCTCTTCATAGAATACGTTTCCGCTGCTCCATAGTCCAGTGGAACTGGCGCTTGCCATTGTGTTTGGTGATGTAAGGCTTGCATGCAGCTGCTCGGCCATGGAAACTCATGCCATGAAGCGCTCAGTTTTTGTGCTGATGTTAATGACAAAGGAGGTTTATGGTTATTTACTCAGCAGAGTGTTTGCGACTTTCATGCACTATGCGGCTCAGCACTCGCCGACCTGTTCTGTAATGGTCTGACACGTCTTGGCTGAGTTGTTGTGGTTCCGAAATGTTTCCACTTTTCAGTAATTCCACAGTTGATCGTGGAATATCTAGGAGAGAAGAAATTTCGCTAACTGACTTGTTGCAACGGCGACATCCTATTACAGTACCATGCTCAAATTCAGTGAGCTCTTTAGAATGACCCATTCTTTCACAAATGTGTATGTAGCAGGTGTAATAATTTACTTTAATTAATTCATTTACATATATTTATATACATTTTTTTGTTATTAGTTTCACTTGAAATCCCTTCCTTAAGTTCTACCTTGCAAGTTCTTAACTGTTCTTCATGGCTTATGGGAGTACGTATGTGTCTTGTCCTTTCTCAGCACCTGTAGTTTTTCTCCCTTTGTCGTGTTGGCGCTGTTTTTTTTTTCAGTCTGCAGTGAACCTGACTGAGAGAGGTGCGTTTGTGAAGTGCTCTGTTCTAATAACTCATTGTAGTGTTTTAAGATGGAGCTTTTGTGAGTATATTTGTGTATTTTATGAATATAGCGACATGAACTACAGAGGTGCAAGTAACGTTTTTGAGCTTTAAAAGTTTTTTTTTTTTAGCAGAGCGATAAAATGGTTAATATGCTTAGTGTTTTAGCTCCCCCCTGTGGTAGTTGAAGGGCGTTTTGCTTCCTTGCCTTTGTGCCTTATATTCGTATTGTTTCTTTTGCTAGGCATTATCTGAGAAGCTATTGACGCCAATTTATCATTCTGCTTTGTTCTAAATGATTTGTACACAGGTGAGTACTCCCATAGCCATGTTTGAAACGTTAGTTAAAGTGCTTATTTTCAGTGGATGTACTGTGTGGTTAAAATGGCGGACGCCATGTGAGTTTTTTTTCGTTTTTTTCTTTTTTTTTCTCTTTTTTTTTCCCTTTTTCTGTTGAATAAATAATTCTAGATACACCTATTCATCAGCTGATTAATGTTAGATTTATAAGAAATGCAGAGGGGAAACCTCTGCAATGTCATGTTAAGAAAACCTACTGAGTTTGCACTACAGTTTTATTATGTATATGCTCAGTTGTATGTATCTGTGTCAGAGTGTGTTCCATGGTAATATAGTGTGTTTTTAATATTGAAAATTATTACTGATTGGAAATTAATGTGACACATAATAATTACTGCTTATGGCTTACAGTCGGTTTAATAACTATATGCATATATAGATATATATACTATTATATGTATGTATTTTTTTTGTGCAGCTGAGTCTGCAGTGAACCTGACTGAGAGAAGCATTATCTGAGAAGCTATTGACGCCAATTTATCATTCTGCTTTGTTCTAAATGATTTGTACACAGAAATACACACAGACTGAAGCTGATATCCGGTGTCCTGAGTTTTATTAGAATCCCATACACAACGCAGATGACGGGGGAGTAGCAGAAGGGGAACTCTGGCTACATTGGTGCCGTGACCCGGATTTCTTCAGATCATCGCCAGTGTGATCACCGACGATTGCTGCATCTGGTATCTGTGTGTTTGATGGGTGGTAGTGAATGCTTCTTCAGAACTCTTAGATTTCTGCCTCGAGTCAAGTGGTAATAGACCTAATTATCATGATGTCCCATACCGGAAAGGACATGAATGGTTTACCTGTTAATGATGACTCTATCAGTGGGTTAGGAAGAAGGTGGTTTTGGAGAGATTTGGACCAGACTCCAGTTAAGGGTGCTCATTTACCATCCACCTGTTTCCTGTTCCACTCAGATATGTACAGATACTCCAATGGTTAGTCAACCTTCACACAGGCCAGCCCTAGAGAATCTTGTAACCCAGTTAGCTCAGCAAATTGGACAGAACATTGCTTCCCAGCTAAAAGAAGGGTTGAATACGCAAAGTATTAGTACACTTCAGAGTAATAATGCGCAGTCACAGAATGCAGAGATAAATCAGACACCCACTGAGCTGAACATGACAGGAGTCAAACTAATTATGGCTACAGATGTTAAAGAGCCCCCACACTTTAGAGGAGATGGGTCAGATAAACATTCGGTACATGAATGGGAGGAAATTGTAGATAACTATCTTAAAAAGAGGGGAATTCCAATCAGAGAACAGTTTCAAGAAATCATGTCTAGACTAATGGGAAGAGCTAAGGATGTTGTACGTGTAGCTTTACGTAGTAACCCATCATTAAGGCCAACAGACAATCCTAAGCTTATTACTGATATACTCAAACAGCATTATGGTGAGATGACTTACTCTTCCATGCCCCTAGCTGACTTTTACAACACAGTCCCTCATGCTGGCGAAAGCGCCATGGATTATTGGCTCCGCTTAAACAAAGCAGTAGACATAGCTGATGAGTGTTTAAGGAGACGGGGTCGCTGTGTTGAAGAGCCAAGTCGTGAAGTCACAATGATGTTTGTAAAACATTGTCCCGCAAAGTGTCAAGCGAAATTGGGCAGGCCCTCACAAGTAAAGCGTGTTGGGGTCCACCTACAAACACCAACATGTGAGAATGAGGAGGTTGAGATTTCAAGAGAGTTCATGAATGAAGGGGTTGAGAGGACACCAAACTCCCTGTCACAGACAGATGGCAATTGTGTGCAGTCTCTTATCAGTCTTTTAGACCGTGTGCTGGAACAGAGGACCCAGTCAGCAGTGCTTGCGCAGCCTACTCGGAAACCTACAAGTTGCAAGGTATGTGAATCAACTGAACACACCACAGTGTTTCACTGTAGACAAGAAGGCTTGTGCTTGTCTTGTTTCAAGTCTGGTCACTGGAAGAAACAGTGCTGGAAGTGGAAGTGGAAGTCAAAGACAGGGCCTGTGGCTAGGGAGGCCCCCAAGCCGCATAGCAGTGAAAACAAGGACGCCCAGTTAAACTAAGTCACCTGCATGTGGAGAGGGGACGTGTGGGTGTTCATGAGCCTGCCCTCATCACCAATGATTTGGAGGAACATTATATGGATATTTGCCAGA